AGGGGACGGGAGGGAGGGGACGGGAGGGGAAGGAGCAGCGCCGGATCAAGGGGGGGCAGCATCCTTGGGCCCCACTTTGCAGGGGGGCCCCAATGTAAGCATTCCATTTCTGTTAAAAAAAGTAATTGTATGAAATTCTGTTTACTGTTTCCATTTTGAAATAATCAGTAACAGCACTGAATGTAGAATTAAATCGGAACATAGTTGTTAAAATATAAGAAAGCATTGTTCTTTGCGATTAAATGTTATTTAGAATAAATCTTAATTTTTGAAGATGTGTAGATGTGCACTTTATTGCATGTTTTATTACAACATTTTTTGTCCCCTTACCCCCCGTTTTTTAATGAAGGGGGCCCTGGAAGGTTGGTAGTTTGGGGCCCTACAAATCTTAGTCCGAGCCTGGGAAGGAGGAGGAGAGGGGAGGACTCTGGTCGTGGGGTTCTACGTGGGCACGAGCTCCTGTGCATCCTCCTCGATCCTCTAAAAATTCGTAGCTATGTGTCGGGTGTAATTAGCGACAATTATGTCGGGATTAATTAGCCGGTTCTACTGCCTCCTGGATCGCTATGTGTATCGAGGGGTGGGGGGGAATTCTCAGGCGGTTGGGATAGCGCAAGCCTGGTGGATTACGAAATGAGATTAAGAAATGAATTAACCGGTAAATACGGGGCCGAAGGCGAATAATTATAATAAATTGACGGTACCCACCTCGACGTGCCCGGCCTGGACGAGATATCCAGTTTGCATAATCGCTGATTAATGGAGGATCGATACCGCGAGGCGCGATTCTTTCCCTTTGGTAGAAAGATCGAGGTATCTAAAGGGGTTTTGGGTTGGGCGAACGTAACCCTGAACCGATGGAGGAGTCTAGATTTTTCTGTTGGGGCGTTGGCAGCGAACTTGAATGATATTGAAATAATTGTTTTTTTTCAATTGTTGTTTAAGTGCAGTCTTCGAGCAAAATTGATCCTGAAATTTTTTATGTCCTCGACCAGACCTGTGATCCTAAATTTTGGTGTAATCATCTACATTGTTCTGTTCGGTAGTAGTAGACTTAAATACAGTATTCTTTTAATTATTGTCAAAGATCAATTAATGTCCAAATCCTGAACCTCATGGGCGAGTAATAAATTATTATCTGATCAAAATAAATCCAAAAATGATTAATATCCTTTTTTCGTCGAATAAAATGAATGCTTCTGTCGAAAGGACAATTTTTTTTATTTAATCTATAATTGAATATCTTCAATATGTATATTCGCGGGGAATAGCTTTGGTGAGGAATTTGTATATAGTTATGTACTAACCTAATCGAGAACCGAGGACTGCTCAACTATGCCAACTATGATGGATCGGTGATTTACAGGGGGTTTCAGGGAAAGTAATGCGCGAGCGTGTTGTAAGGATCGCCTACGTTTGGCGATTTAAGTAACTGCCTCGGCAATCCTGACCGAGCAACGGGCTTTACGAAATGAATATAATAGCGTAACTCGTACGCGACGCTCGTGTCAATCGGCTCGCACTATTATTCACTTCGTTGGTCGGTTGCACTTGGTTGGTTGCAGAAAGTCCAAATTCTGAAAATATTCACATCGATAATAAATAAATATATTCCCCAATTATCTTGACTATAAAATTACTTAATTGTGCTCATCGACTTTGTTATATTGCCAATGTCACAATTCTTGAAAATTCAAAATATTTCAAGAAATGAAAAATCAAGGACATTTTAATCTATAAACTTCATTATAGACAAAGTGAAGACAAAAGTTACCTAATTCTAGCCGTCAATTTTTATAAAATGCCAATTTCGGAAATTTCGAAAATTCAACAAATTTCTGGTAAGCAAACACATTGTTTATTAAAAAACAAAATGTTCTAAATAGTCCTGAAATGACAATTGGTCGATGATTCTCCAAAAACAAATTTTTTTTCTTAAAAGGTACTAAAAAGATGTGATCAGTGGGTTACCCAAGTCCATTTTGGTAGTTCTCTAGCGTTGAACTGAAAGTGAAGGTCCCAGCTGATGATTTCCACGAGGGAGCATGACTCTCTGACATCAGTCAGTCATTCTGTACAGAAAACAGCTCCAGATAATTCGCAGTCAGGAGATCTGGCAATTAATCTTGAGGCCACTGAAGAAATTGTGTACACACATTTACACATTCAAAGTTTCCCGCCATTTTCGTAACCGTCCCACCGTCGAGAGAAGGACAGACAAGACGCTGTTCAAAGAAGAAACTGTAACAATTAACCGCAGATGGAACACAGAACACCTTTATATGGCCACGATTATATCAATGACGGTAATCACTACCATTACCACTTAGCAAGTGCTCGTTTGCTAAACTGCCATGCCACGTGAACGAACTAATAAGACGGTTTAATATAGAGTTTACGGTTTTTTTTTTATGGGTCATTAGAGATTTTATGCTTGGGACCCGACTGGTTACCTCGTCCCGATCGTTTCGCATCGAAATTATTACTTTATTTTGCGAGTGAGAACCGAAGTATATGTAATAATGTGCCCCATCGGAATCGCGTAATATTGATCGATACAGTAACGGACAAAATTAACATTTCTTTGGTGTTAATGTAAGGAACTACCAATGTAGTCAAATGACTGTTCAGGTAGCACATGACGGCTTGATGATGTTCATTTTACGGCTATTTTAGGTCTAAGGCGTCTTTAAGCCGTCTTCAAGACGTTATTGTTGATATGGTCTTGTAACGATGATTTAAAAATTTTACAATATTCTTGCAGATCTTTTGGAACTTTTATCGAACGTTGTGTAAGTGAAGAAATATGTTGATTTACAAATTTGGTATATGGATTTTATTAGTATTATTGATGTTTGAGAAAATAATGTTTAAGGAAATTTATATTCTTTGTTAATTAGTGCAAAGAATTCTAAAGAAATTCATCTTGGAAGTATTATTATAGATTTTATTAGCAATAAGATTATTAATATTTAAGAAAATGCTGAAGAAATTAATGTTTGAAGAATTTTTATGGATTTTATTAAGATTATTAATATTTAAGAAAATAACGTTTAAGGAAATCCTAAAAAAAGAACTAAGGAAAATGGTAAAGAAATTGATATTTCAAGAATTATCGGGCTGAAGTTGTTATGTTTTTGTTGGGTACGGTATTTTACATTTTATTGCCCCCAGTAGCGATTCCTGGTCTTCTTTTTTCCGTTTCTGTTCGTTGTAGAGGAGGATATTAAGTGTAATACCCCTCATCTGAACTTTCCAAACCGACACGTCTCGCGAACTGTACCCAGTAAGGATTATAATAATCCTGATTGTAATACTTTTTATGTAATTATCTTTCACCTCTAGCCGTGCGAGTACGTGGCGTGTGTTTATTAAGTATTTACATGCCACCGGCGAGTGTACGTCTCCGGTGAACGTGTAACGATATGTGACAATTTATTTCCTTATTGTTATGCCATCATTTCTTTTCAACTTTTAATGCATTATTTTCTTTTTTTCAATAATACTATTGGTATCTTCATTTTAGGGAGTGCCATTAAATGGACCTATTACTGACCTGAAACCAAATGGGATTCCATAATTTTGAATCAATTATCAATATTCTTAATTAAAATTTAAATATTTTACATTAAATTATAAAACTAAATACTATTTTTACGCTGAGTTAATGGAGTGCCATTAAATGGACCCAGTTCTGGACTGAAAACAATACTGTTCGATTTTGAAACAGATTATTACTATTGTAAATTGGAAATAAAAAATTCTGAATTAAAATGGAAAAATAAATTCTATTGGTATATCGACTTCATGGAGTGCCATTAAATTGGCTCGTTATTAGACCGAAGCCAAGTGGAATTACATATATGTATAGTATCTACACTAAATCATCGTTCGATTTTGAATCAGATTAATTGGAAAATTACGTCTACATGACATTGTTTAAAATTATTCTGTGCATATCTGGCCGTAATCCTCATCAAATTGTGCAGCGTCCACAGAAATGGCGGAATCGATATCACTGTGAAAGACAGCAAAATTCAACCAACTATTTGATTGACTGCAACTCGTATGAAATAAAATGCTTCAAATATAAATTTCGTTTTCAGATCGAAGTCAGAGTAATCTTTTCTGGAGAATTCATTATTATTATGGCCAAAGCTTTTTCCGCAGGGGATATTATTAGTGGTGGGTTGTAACATCACACGTGGTCGACAATATTTTGGCGCTAAAATTTGAAAAATTCCAATATTAGAATTAGTCACTTTGGCCTATGAACATCTCAATTATTCTAAAGAAGGACAATGAATATATCAATCTATCTCACGAATAGGTAACAAATCACACTTGCTTGACAATGTTTTGGCGCTAAAATTTGTAAAAATTTCCAAATTGGAGTTAGTCATTTTGGACTATTAACGTCTCAATTACTATAAAGAAGGAAAATGAATATATCAATCTACGTCATGAATAAGTAAAAAATCACACGTGATCGAAGAGGAAAGGACGAAAGGATAAATCTGAGGTGGTCTTGAAGAGAGACAATTGCAAAATGAGGGAAGAATGGTAGAGGCCGATCCAGAGGAGTTCAGAATGTGTGGGGGAATCGTGTAGACCTCCCATTTGCTTTGATCCTGGGGGCCCTCTTTCCTTTCGTGGATAGCCCAATAGCCGAACAGTCACGTGCGTGGATCCAATTAAAATTTAAACCTGGTGCTCAGTCATCAACCCGGGTAGATAGACGTCTCGTCCTCTCTTCCCCTCTGCGATGATGCATCAACATCTCTGAGTGAAGGGAAGAGAAGATGCGCTCCTCTCCACCTCCCACACCCAGAGACGGTCATTCTAATACGATGGTTAATACACGTGGATATGCAGCGCTAAGGATAAACTGTAACAAAGGGTCCGGGCCGGTATATAAACTCTGCCGTGGATCATCTTCTCAGTTCGCTTCGCGTCTTCGGTCATAACAGCAATATGAATTACCACCAGGTAGGCCATCTACTCCCGGTTCACGATTCCTGGCGATCGCTGTCGCCCACATTCGCGCACATTTCTGTTTGGTATCATTTTTCCTTTTTTTCATAACATGTTTGGAATTGTTTGTTTCGTCCATTTGGACAATTCGACCATCTGCTGGTCGTCACTAGAAGACGTTATTCTCAATTTTCTTTTTTTTTTTAAATCCAAATTTGGAGATTTTTCAATTCCTTTTGGGTCAATATACAATACTCCATTTGTTAAACAAACGGTTGTCACTTTTCTTACTATTCTTCTTTACAATCCAGATTTCAAGATTTTTTCAATTCCTTCTGGATCTCTATATTTCTTCCGCTTTCGTAAAAATGGTTGCCACTTGGAGACGCTATTCTAAATATTGTTTTTTTTAAATCCAAATTTGGAGATTTTTTCAATTCCTTCTGTATCTCCATACAGCTTCTTCAGCTTTCGTAAAAATGGTTGTCACTAGAGGACAGTATTCTCAATTTTCTTTTTTTAAATCCAAATTTGGAGATTTTTCAATTTCTTATGGATCTCTATACAGTTTTACCAGTTTTCATAAGAATGTTTGCCACCAGGGTTCACCATTCTCAATATTCTCCTTTAAAATCCAAATTTGAAGATTTTTCCAATTTCCTTCCGCATCATTAAATAGAGTTTCCTCAACTTTCATGAAAGCAACTTATTATTTCGAGTACTTCAGCTTGTACCTAAGGCAATTCCCAAACATCTGATCACTAAAAGCAGAGTCCTAGAATTTCAAATTACAATTTCAGTTCGACTATGTTAACTGTACAATTCAAAAGAACCTGGTATTACAATATTCTTTAAAACTCCTTCTTCATTTTCTTATTCTTCTGGTTCGGTTCCACGGATCCCTTGCTCACCATAAATGGTGAAGAAAACTCTTTGAAGAGCCCGCTGCCACATGGAAATCGGTCTGTAATCATCCCTCATGTCTCTGGTGCATTAAATTTCGACACACACGCGAATTACGTGTTCGCGAATCATTGGCACGCGATACTTCAGAGGCTTTCTATTCCGAACATCAGCGTTCTCCTTTTTGTCAATGGCGTTAATGACATCCAGTGACGAAATCGTGCAATCAGTTCAGACGAGATTGATGCTTCTCGTCTACACGAATAGATTGTACACGGTAATCCAGTGATTTCTGCTGATCGCAGCTGAAAGACTTATTCGACGAGTGACACGAATCATATGAACGTTCGTGTTTCATTTTCATTAAATATTGCATAGTAATATTAGATGTACTTATATGTAATCAATTATTTCTTCTTTAACAGACTATATTGTTTAAATCTAAAACCTTCTTTCAAAATGGCGACGAACATTATGGATGTCACTGGAACGTCATAAGCTTCTGATTTACCTCCAAAACAAGTATTGAAATTGGCAGAATATAGTGAATTATTTGTTAATACACTTACTATTACGTGTACCAATAGGTAATCGACCATACTTTGTAAAATACAATATTTATTCTCTGGGGACTTATGCAGTAACTCGCCGCCATTTTTGAGAAAGAAACGGCGGGAAAGTACGTTGAATTCAAACTATGCTACCAGCAAATTAAAACGAAATAGTACACATAATATTATATTCAGTGATTTCTCGTTCGTTCAATCCTACTCTATTCACTATTTAATTCTCCAGCGTGCTGTCATATTTCTCATACTCTATACTTTATACTACCCAATTTTCTGTGGTCCAATCTGTTCTAACCAACGGTACATCTAATGTATCAGCGTTCCTACCACCAATATACTATAAAATAATTAATTTCTGTTTCAGTTAACGAAGGTGCTGTCGGTGCTCTTGTGTCTCAGCAGCGATGCACTCGCTGGACTGTTGCCGAATGGTGGTGCGGGTGGAAGTGGCTACCAGTACAACAGACCAGGCGCAGGAGGATTCGGCGGTGCAGGTGGATTCGCCGGGGACGTAGGCGGTGGTAACTACAGGAGACCAACCACATCGTACGGACCACCCGGAGGTGGCGGTGACGGCGGTGGTTTCGGTGGACGTCCCTCGACTGCTTATGGAGCACCAGGACAATTCGGTGGCGGCGCCGGTGGTGCTGGCGGATATCAGGATGGAGGATACCAGGGCGGTTACGGTGGTGGTTTTGGACGCGACAATGGCAGAGTAAGTGCACTAAAATTAAAGCATTGCAACAAGAACTACGATAACCCTAAAATTCCCATTTTTCTTAAATTTCGCAGGCTATATACCTTTTCTTATTTTCCTGTATATCTTGTAAACTGTAAGAGATGTAAAGAAATTGTTAGAATGAAAATTTAATGGCACTTTGTACACTATAAAACTATTTAATGCAATTGTGAAAAATTTGTTGTTTGTATAAATAAATAATTAAATAAACAAATTAGGAACAATTGAATTGCGCAGTTTTGTAGAGCGTGGAAAATAATTAAAGTTTCATTTCAAGGGTTTGTTTATATCTGGTACAGTTTTCAAGATATACGGGGAAATAGGAAACCCAATAGGTAGCAAACAAATTGTCTGATCTGCTGTTGAGGTCTCCAGAAAGCTTACAAAGTTTCAAACAGAAATTCCCTTGTAATCGACTATGTACAATCGTTAGAAGTTATTTGATACAAATTCTTAGGGTTATATTCAATCAAAGGGGATTCAGAAGAAGTGTACAATACGTTTCTGTTCGTCAGCCTCAACCATACAGCTTCCAATACGAGGTCTACGATCCACCAAGTGGCAACGATTACTCCCAACGTGAGAGCAGCGACGGCAACGTGGTCACAGGGGAATACAGAGTTCTGTTGCCTGACTCGCGGACACAGATCGTAAAGTACATGGCTGACGATGCTAATGGGTACACGGCTGACGTTCAGTACGAAGGACAGGCCCAATTTTCACGCGGTGGCGTTGGTGGCGGTGGTGCCGGAGGATACCAAGGTGGTACTGGAGGATACCAAGGTGGTAAGTGGAATTTCAATATTGTTAAAAATCATCACAATAATATTACGAATATTATATTATGAAACAACAGTATTATAGAATGATCCGTTCATTTTTTAAAGTGATCAATTCTATAAAATTTATTTCAAATGTAAAAAGTTATGCACCAATGCCTTTACCCTAAAATTGGAAAAAATTCGAAAAGTCACAACATTGTCAAAACACTGCTTAAAATATTAAGTAGCATTAGAAACACTGCTTGAAGTGTTCAGTAGTATTAGACATACATATGTTATAACATATGAACGTTATTCAACAAGGTGGAACAAAACTTAATATGAAACAAGATACAACTGTACATTAACTTGCCTCACATTTTGAGTCCCCCTTATAAACGCATATTTATAGTTTCAAAATTAATATATCAGTCCTTCAGTGGTAATACTATAATTACATGTTTAAAACAAAAATATTATTTGGTTCGTAGCATCTTAACATGTTTGTAACAAACTTCCAGCAATTTCTATCAATAAAGTTCGAAACAGACGAAAAATATCTTACATTAAATGGTGATCTCTGGTTGTTTGTGACACGTGAAATTTGATTTTTCTTTTACAGGCAGGGGGGGTGGCTTCGGAACCGGCGGATACAGCGACGCCGGAAGCAATCAGTATCTACCGCCCCGCAACAATTACCGGAAATGATCGTAAAAGCATTTAAATAAAAGGGGAAAAAACAACAACAAAAAAAAATGGGACAAATCTCCCGAATGCTGGGCGACAACCATCACGGACCTCCCTCGTTTTTACAGCTTTTTTTTTTACACACACCGAAACAATCTTCTACCACTGAGTCACATTGCACATTTACATTTAATAATCACCACCCCTCCCCCTCCACTGGTATTTAACTTGTATATCGGTTAGGATAATTTAATTTTTCTGTTCACGCGCCAATATATTCCCGCGTATTTATGTGTATACACATTACTCTGTACATGGTAATTGTTTATTCTTCTTCTTTTTTTTTTATTACGAAACATACACTTGTATACCTTCTGCTAAGCGAATCGTCGAACTTATATACGCTTGTGTACGTATTTATGCGAGCTTGTAGTGAAACAGGAATGAAGTAAACTTTCTATTTAAAAAAAAAAACAAAAGAAATAAACTAATTATTTCCTACCCGGTTAACCCAATGAAGTATGAATGAAGTACGGTAACGACAATTTGAAAATCAGTGTGATTGAAAATCTTCTCTTGATAATCTGATTAACATTAAATATCGATTAAAATTTACTTTTTTCTTTTTTAGAATAATTACTACTTATTACTGTACAGTAATTTACTGTAAATTCTAATATTTAAATATTAATTTAAACAAGTTCATCAACATGGTCAATGTATTTCTTCGGGTACTTTGGTTCTTTTTATTTTTTACACTTTGCGCACGCCGTATTAGTGTCATATAATCGTTTTTAGTACGAATTTTTTCATACATACTGTGACTCACACATTCGTCCATATATTTTATAAATAACAAATAAGCATAAAAAAATGTATTAAATTCCTATTTATATATCCGCATTATTTCAAGTTTCGTCATATTTTTGCGATATATTTTTCTTAATCATTAAATAAAATTTTTGTATTTCTTCATGAAATTTGGTCAAATAAATGTTTATAAACTTTCGTGACCGAATTCGTGAGTTACCGTGTGATCACATATATCAATGTTTAGAGATAAATAATGTTTATCATCAATAATAATAAAAAGTATCAAACAATACATTAATACACAATCTCTTCTTCGCGTCACTGCAGTGGAGGTATTGATTACATAAGTTTACCACGTCCTGTAAAAAGTACGAATAACATATAAAATATCACTGATGTAATCAATTGTCCAGGTTGAAGTAAAAAATTTCTTGAAAACAAAAGTATTCATTTAAGTCAACACAGTAACGAATATGTAATACTTTTTCAAGAAATGTCTAACAAAATCGAAGATTATACACCAGTATGTTCACACAAAGGGAAGTATGAGAATATATTATTGTTATAAAAATATTGGTGGAATTCTGGAATAAAATAATATATATAATAAAAGATAGGTAAATAAACTTAAGTGCGAACTCAAGAAATAATTCAAGGTGTACAATTTCGAACTTAATGACAGTAGCATAGGCAATATTATGCAATCATTATATTGAAGTGTAAAAATAAATTATAGAATTTTAAAAAATTTGTTTTATCTGATATAAGGTAAATGTCCCCGTGGTTGGACACGTCCTGGTGATTGGACAGTATAATGAATTTTTGTTAGTATTAAATTTTAAAAAAATAATAGCGAACTTCAGAATTTATATTAATAACAATATTTAATTTTGGAAGATATAGTTTCTTTCATATATTTCACACATAAATGTCATATTATTAAATTATTAATATGATTAATAATTAATGTAATAATTATAATTATTAATATTCGTAATTATTTTATACTATTAAAAAAAATCGAAAACAAAGAGGAATAATTTTCATTTGGTAATTTTGTTTAACTTTGTTTAAGTTTAATTTTGTTTTATTTAAAATACATATTTTTTATAAAACGTTTATAATAAACCAAAGTTAAATCCACTGTTTGTTTTTAATGCACAATTTCCTAAATGTTTAAAAGCATTTACCAAATATATAACATATACATAATAATGAAACGCAATTTTCCCTTAGTGTTATTTATTTTTTAATTTATAATGTATACATTTATAGATTTAGTTCATGATTTTTATTATTTTATTTATTTATAATTTTACTTCTTTTATTTATTGCATTAAATTAAATTTGTTACGTTTTTATTTGAATTTTTACAACATAAAAGAAAAATATCATGTTGTACTATTAAAAATCAGCGATGAATAATTTTTTTAATGCTGTGTCCCAACATTGGGACAGCTAAATTTAATTCTTAGTTATTAGACTTGTGTGGAAGAAGAAGTTCTGCTCTATCGATTGAACTTTTTTTATTTATTATTTTTTTTGTTTTCTAATATATAAAAGGTCTTCGCAATCGCAATCTTCTTCTTAAACGTGCAACCACTGGGACATTTTCCTTATCGTTGAAATAGTTGCATCTAAATGTTTTACCTTTTCCTAAGGGAGGAAATTCTTCATCTATATTTTTCTTTAATATTGCAGCACCTCTTCCACCTATAGTGAAAATTAGCAATGGTCATTAACAATACGCACACATACACTAAAAATACCCTATAACTTAAAATATAACTTTTTTGATTATTAATTGTAAAAACATTAACCGCCTGACTACGGACGAACGCCATCGCTTATTCTACTTACTTATTTTACTTAATTATTAAGGTGCCCATTTTCATTTTTCTATACAGGATGTCCCATAATATCATAAAGTGTAGGGGCACAAAATTTTATAGACTTTTTTTCGTTTTTGAACTCTTACGAAAAATAGTATTGAACAAAAATTGAACTATATTTTTAAGTGTGCCATAACTTTCGAAAATCAGAGTTTGTTTACCTGCATTTTTAAAAAATATTTTCTATTAGAACGAATCGTGGCAAATCCAACGACTATAAATATAGTACAGAAAGATCAGAAATAGTGTATACAAAGTGAACAACTGTGCAACGTGCGCCAGCAAAAAAAGTCTATAAAATTTTGTGCCCCTACACTTATATAGTGACAGGGGGACAACACCCTTCGCTTAATTTTAATGAACTATTAGAAGCTCTTAAACACAAAGAGTAGTAATGAAACACCAAATTTTCATTTTACTCGTAATGAGACTCGAACACTAAAAATAGTGTATTCGATCAAACTTTTTTAAGTTTCAAAGTGTTTAATTGTTTAAACACTTACTACTAATTATGTTTGAATTAGATAATTGAGCCGATCCCAGCGGCACTGCAATGCCGGGCCGACTCGTGACAGAGGTGGAGCAAGCCCCAAACGCTCCGTCGATTTCCAAAAATCAGATTAATATTCTGACTCTCCAATGGAGAGTGTATCAGATATTAAGCTGATAAGAACAGATACTACACTTTGATCTTAGCCATAAGGCCGAGAAGCGATACCTTAAGCAGTGTTTGAAGCCCTTATAACGTTTACACCTCTCAAATTCACCAGCGAGAAACGACTCCCCGAGCGTAGCCACCAAGCGACGGCGACGCGAAGCGTTCGACGTCCCGTAGGAGAATATCTCATGACTCACACGGTGGGTAATGAGTCTCCAATGTGTTAAACAAGTCACTGCTGACGAAAAAAATTTGTTAATCCGTCTATTTAGTGTTATTTTATTTATTAGTGTTAGACCCACCAGTTGCATGTATAGGCACACTCGTACTCGTACGAGTTCCGAACTGCCTGCACGTGTGGACTGTGCCTATACATGCAACTGGTGGGTCTAACACTAATAAATAAAATAACACTAAATAGACGGATTAACAAATTTTTTTCGTCAGCAGTGACTTGTTTAACACATTGGAGACTCATTACCCACCGTGTGAGTCATGAGATATTTCACCTGTATAGCCGATGCCTCACCACGTAGGTCACGTACAATTATATATACGTATATATATTTATCAGTTTCTGCAGATAGTTGTGTAATAATACATCAGTCCAGAATGTGTCGAGTTTATGAATACAACTAATTTGATATATTAATATACTAACTCACCGATTATGGGAAAGTCCCTATCGTTAAAAATGGTCATACTTTCTTGGGTTTCACTCAGAGCTCGTGCTGTAACCATTGGAAAATGTAGCAGAATTGTATATACACATTTTTATAGAATTAATTTCCCAACATTTGTGCAAGCAGTGCAGCGAGCTTCGTCGAGGGGTCGTATGACACACCAGTATCAGTGTCTCATACGACTCTCCGAATGAAGCTCACTGCGATGCTTGCAAAAACGTTGCGAAATTAATTCTATAAAGACAAGGCTTACACTCCAAAAGCCCCAAATCTCTGAATATATACGTGTACTTACATGTTGTTTTTGGTGGTCGCAACGGTCGTGAAGGTATCTGACGATATAAACATATAAAAATAAATATTAATATATTAATATAATATAATATAATTAATATATTAATATAAATAATAATAATATAGGTGCATCACAACCGAGGGAAACTTCCTAAGTGTAACCCTTATTTTTTAATCAGCTTTAACGACTTTGTAGTATTTATCGAGCTGAACACGCTCCATACCTGTTTTGGGCGTAAACAGTTATTAATTTACAAAATATTAATAATTAAAAAGTTTAGTCGTGTACGATATATCCAAAATTACGAAAAATATTATCAACTACCTATTTGACGCAGTGGTTAAGTGTCCGACTACAGAGTTGTGCTAAACCGTTAGACGTAGATTTCGAATCCCCGGTGATGGAAAAAAATTTTTTTTTCCATTACTTACACATTTTTTAAAATTTTGTACTCAAGATAGGTTCAAAATAATAAATATCGTTTTTTTTTTTTTTACTCTTATAACCGCCAAAAGATTAACACGTTGACTGCTATAGTGAAAAAAACCGTACGTAGTCAGACATGTTTAATTTCGTGTTTTCAGTCATAAATCGTCGAAAATATATGCGTTTAGTCAATAGAGACTATTGATCTTGCTTAAAATTACACTGCAAAATTAATTTTACGCAAAAATTTCATAACTGTGTTTAAATAATCCTGCCTAATGATATTAATAATTTCATATCGTAATATTAATAGTTTCATATCGTAATATTAATAATTTAATATTGTAATATTAATTATTTAATATTTTGTTGATATGGCAATCAAAGTCTGAAAATAGTGAAGGGTACACATGGGGAGTTCCCCTCGTACGTAATCGACCATTATTTTTTATTCTGGGGGCGATATACTTTAAATTCAAAGTACACGGATTTTATTAAGTAGTAGTAGATTACTTATTAGTACACTCAATCGTAGTATACGTACAGTGTTGGAGGTGTATTTGCTGTGATCAATGATTTCCAATGATTTGCACACATTACGTCGTCGTTGCTCGTCTTTCTCGGTTCGTTCCGATACTTTTCGCCTGTGATCTGCACTGACCTGTTCGAACAATCGTTGAAAATTTATCGCGAATAAATATAACGATTAAGTACATTGATTATTGTGCCGGTCACCCGTGACTTTATAAATAATTCGTATTATTTATAAACTTCTCAATGGAACAAAAAATAAATGAAAAAAAAAAACATGAAAATTTCACGTTGGCGATATGGGTAAAACACACGAAAATCTATCGATAATGAACCCGTTCAGAGTACAGTTGTTACATAGCGTTACGTTACTTACTCCAGTCATAGAAACGCCAACGTTATTATGATCGTTAATACTGAGATTGTTCATCTGAATATTAAGAGTGCCTGCCGTTCGAGAATTAAAGGATAGTTTATTCATTGGGTAGTGAACACCCTCGATCATTGGTATGTCCAAATACTCGCAGCTGTAGTCGCATATCGTGAAGCCCCATCGTTTAACAATAGACATACTACAGTACTGAGGTGCATCCAGAAGCTTGTGGAACTTGAATAGGAAAATATTAATTTTTTATAGTTAATCCAAGTATCACCGACGAGGTATACCTATACCTCGCTATACGGCCGCTCTTTATACGGCATTTCGCTATAACAGCCTTTTTTAATTATGGCACTTTTTCGATTTACGGCCCACAATGTTTCGTTATACGGCCCAAAAAAATACTGTACTGTTAACGACCTTCTGTTTATAAAACGCTTTATGAACTAAAAACTATATTATTTTATAAAAAATAGGAACAGATCCAATTGAATTTGTATGGGTTTGTATCAAAATAATTGATTCGTTATACGGCCAACTTTTCCGGAACGTGTCTAGGCCGTAAAGCGAGGTATGGGTGGATATGAATAGACTTTTCATCTTATGGGAGGTTGGTGGCCCACCTAAACTGTAATACCGACACCTTAAAAAGCCTGTGATTTCAGCAACCTCTATGAGAACGGTGAATCTGCGGTGGGTATTGACACTAAAATGGAAATGGGCCGACGCCATCGCCTCAGAAAAGTGGCCCGAAAAAATACACTGGATGAAAAGTTTGCTTCTATACCTCGTCTGTGCCAGTATATATTTCGATGAAATCTTTAACACGTTCACCGGTGATCGTCGTGAAATAGAAAATCAAATGTCAAGTAATGCAGCCGACGTGAACGGAAACGTCAGCTGAGACAAGCTCCGCGGCGATAAACGCGTTAACGACAACATATATTTTCTGCATTTACCTCGCACTCAAGCCCAGCCACCGAAGAAAAAGTGTCCTTTCCGAACTCATTTTCGGCAACTACTAGAGGAATGCTGCAATCGTCCTTCACGTTCTGCGTGGCGACATTTCGCAATGCTGCGAACAACGCTTCCAGAGAATATATCACGAAGTTGTCCAAACTCTGGCCTGAAATCGAACAGTTCTATTGCATTCAACCGAGCACAGTTTTTCTACCATTTTATACGATTATTTATATAATGTTTTGTACTTGCCAGCAGCCTCGCACATTCTCTTCAGCAACGAGTTGATAGCCGGTGTCAAATCTTTCATGGTGAACAAAGGTGGATACTTGTCCCCAGTCTTATTGGATGCTAAAACCTTTACTAATCGCCTGTACATATACGCAAAGTCGCTCTGCCCGTTTGGATGTTCGATAGTTATTTTATGAGTTTCTTGACTAGTCTCCAACGCATCCTTCCTCCATCCTAATGGTATCTTGGTACTGACCACTTCATGGTAGACGTTCTCAATGCCCCTATCCAAACTAAATTCTGCCACAGCAAACTCTGCGGGACAGAAGTCGTATTGATTGATTCCCACTTCTCTTCTGTAAAACCAATTTGCATGTACCAGCATGAACTTCATCTTTCCCAAGCCTGCAACAAAAAATATTATCGTTCATTATAGATTGTTTTGCAATGTTTAGCTGCTGATGAATAAATGTTAATGAATAAAAAAGGAATTGAAAAGGATTATGACTAAGTCTTTTCTTGTTTCCTTGTTTCTAATATTCATAAATTATTTTTGTAGCAAATGCATGGTGTTATTTACTGTTGTGCTGGACACCCATAGAGATTACAGAATCTATATATTGTAGCATATTTTGCTGAAACTCCTGTTTCTTTTTCTCTGCTGCAAGAAGATCAGCTATGTTCTCTCCCAAAGTTGTTTTTTTGGCTGTTGTTCCCTGAGATTTAACCTTGCTGTCCTTTGCTCTGGCCTCATATTGCCCTTTCTGATGAGCAGGCATATTCTGAAAATAATAATAATGTATATTTGAAAATCAAATTCTGTGCAGCTCATGTCAATGGCTTTAATTTTCACTACAAACTTCCTAAGTAATTTCATTCTGAATGCGAATCAATTTTTCTTCATTTGTACTTTATTAATGTGAATGCAATAAAAAATCCAGGAGTTAGTTAATTTCTGTTTTGTATCGATAAGTATACATATAAAACGAAATATAGATTTTACAGGGTGTTCTTTATGAAATACGCTTGACCTGGAACACTCTGGACTACTTGTTATGAATACACCAGTCCTTATCTACGAACGAAAATACTAACATTCTGTGTTGACGCACTTGTCATCAGAAGCAGTATCAACTAACGAACGATACTTAAATGGAAAATAACGTTATTCTATTGTTCCAACTTTTCTGTATAGTGAAATAAAGAAGTGAGGAAACAAGCTGTTTAAGAACAGATAATTGATTAAAAGAAAAAGACTTTCTGACCTTCCAATCGATGCTTAATTGAGGATCCCTTTGTACATCACGTAGACCTTCCGGAAAACTTTTTCCAGCTTTCTCTTGTTCTTTCTTCCAATCGATCATGAAGAAATAAAACGCGTTCTGACCTTTGTTGTTTTTCGGCATTTTCGTACTTGTCACCACCACAAATGCGTTCAAACGACCGAAGACCACTGAGAACTGAGCCAGACTGAGCAAATTTCTGATTCTTTCCGACTTTTTATACGATAGGAAACGTGTGCATACATTGTGACATCTGACGATGATTGCAAGAAACTCTTTCTTCCTTTTTCTACTATGGTTACATACAATGATACAATATTTTAAAGTTTTATGACTTTTGGAATTACATATTAATGTTTCCTCCTTTACGTATATTTAAATTGAATATTTTGATCTTTTTAATTCCAGAGATATTATATCTTCCAAATATTTTACGTTAAGGGGGCTACGTGACCCTAGAACTATGTAGCAGAAAAAAAGTATTGGATGGTATTTTTACCGACAGATGATAATATGTTTCCACATGTTACAATAGTTTCATCACGCTGCTCATTGGTGGCATGTCGTTCGTTAAAATTGAAAACTACAAATGTCTAAAGTTTAATCACACGAAAACTGTATTTCCAAAGTGAAACTTATACTTTTACGTGTTATTTAATTGATAACATCTGTCAGATATTCCATGAATTTTTACACCACTATAAAACTTATGGGAAATATCCATTGTAGACAGTATTCAGGGAAGCACCTTACAATAATTAAATTTCAAAATCGCGACATTCATAATCACTAATAAAGTTTTATAATTTAGGTTAGTTGGGTACAAAGTTACAAGGAATAAAAAGTGGATAGATGAGAATAGTTGTTTATGTTACTAATTGTGAAAAGTGTACACATGAGAATAGTTATGATTTTCCATCTAATGTTAACATTCGTTAAAAAGAATTTGGATTGCAACAGTTCCAATTATTTTGTTATTTCGTAAATAACATGAAAAATCTAGATGTTAAAAGTGATTTACTCGGTGTCTCCCTGAACAGACGACAGTTCCATTGTCAAGAGACAGCAGGAAGATCTGTTCCTGTTTGTCAGAGATGTATACACACATACACACAAAAGAAGAGACGCCTGGGGTGCCAGTGTAGTTGTTTCTACATCCGACGTTCGCGTGTGAAACAACGGGCAAAGGGACCGCGGTGCAACAAGAGCCTGGGAGTGCCTTTTTAATGTCACGGAAGGAGTTACCTTTAAGTATCGCCGATGTCGAATCACATGAATCGTTAGATTGGGGGAGAGAGCGCCCGGATAGAGAACGGTCGAAGATAGCCATTGTTCTTAACATCTACTGCGATCCCGCCGGATGCTCTGGACCTAACCTATATGTGCATGCGTGTGACAGTTATGATCCAGGATGAAGTTAGGTAAAGTAATATTAGTTATCTATGAAATTAAAGTCTCAGACGAAATTTTCACGTAATGTATATTTCCGTTTATTTTCTAACCAATATACATGCGTGTCCAGCACTATCTTACCCTCTATATATGTATATAAACATTGGTACTGGAAAATCAATGTCACGTGGTATTTTACATCGAAAAACGATCCATATAAAAGAAGCTGATTAAACATTCAAATATTGTCGTTGGGAAGTGTTCGATTCTTTTTTAAAATTAACTCTGCACGTATGTATATTTGTATTCAATCGAATTGAGGTTATATTTTCGAGTGCATTTTTTTCACAAAGACAGCGTTGTGTAGAAAAATTGCTTCTTCAGTTTTTGCTCGTTTTTTCGTATAGATTGACTTTCTTAACGTTGCAGTCCCTATTGTAATGTCGACTAGGGTTTCGAGGAAGCCAGATGCGGAGGAAACGTGCACATACAATAGCTGGCAAGGGCGCCTTTCACCCTTGTCTGAAGCTTTCGAATTGTTCTCGCAACACGTGGTTACCATTTCAGTCAGTCGTGATTGTCCTGGAAACTGTAGGCAAGGAGGACTCATTTGCGACAAAACGCCTAAGTACGGTTACCACGTGGCCCATCTGGGGGCTGATTTTTATTGCAGGGAAACTTTTATTGTGGACTGCCTTGAGGTCGAACGTTTTACTCGTAAATTGATGGTCCTTGCGAAATGAGGGGACCATCTTTACTGTCTTTTCAACAAATCACTCGTCGAGAAAAAACATCTGAAAAACATATACATAGACTTCACAGATGTGTGTTTCCATGAGCGTAGCCAGGTTACTAGTCGAGGGGGGCAAAATTTGTCTCGAGGTAAACTTCATAATATAATTTTCAGTGGATTTTAGATTTATTTTTACATGGAACATATTAGTTAAACATAATATTTTTCTCTTCTAAGGGGGGGAGGGGGGTAAGATCTAGTTTTTTCCCTCTATGATAGGGCAAAGGTCAGTTTTTTCCTTCTGGAGGGCGGGGGGGGGGACAAAAAGGGGCACTTGCCTGCGCCCATGGTTGTTTCCATGGTTGAGATTGTAGCAGAAGGAGTGATGATATTATTTAATAATCGTTATTAAATAACCGTGTTGCGTAGCCGTGTGGCGTTATTAATCAACCTGCATCATAATTAAACACCCTTGTAAATCTCACTCGTAATGACAGACGACGTCCCTCTTCCGCCGTTTGAAATACAGTGAGAATCCAGTCGCATTCGTTCCGACCCAATTTCGCATAATTAAATGGTTATACGGTCTGTTGAGGATTTAATTAAGTTCTCGCGTCTAATTAACAAGACGCGACGAGGACGATCTTATTTTCCCATAAAATAAGTAACGTGACGTTGCGTTCGATCTCGTGCGCGTTGCCATTTAACCCTTTAACGGCGTTCGACGAGTATACTCGTCGCGAGGAAATGTCCACTTTTTTTCAGCATATACACATACAACTAACATAAATCAACGGAATGTGTTTTTTAAATTTTCATTATAATCTTAGATAAAAAAAAGTTGTAAAAAACGACGTTTACTATTTTCTTCGTGATTTCGACCAATTGCAACTTTTTCAAATTTTTTTTTATACATTCAGTAATCTAATCCTTTTAACTTCACAGAAAAAAAACTCAAGTCGCTAGGTACGATTCTCAAAAAATTGTTCTGTGTTAATCTCTTAGCTGTGTTGCCACTTTGTAAAAGTGTGTAACTACGTTGTGTCGCTAGAACGATGCGATGACGAGTATACTCGTCAGACACAGAGTATGAGCAGCTGCTGTAAAATTGAATTAAATTATAAGGAAATAGCATTTGTTTTCTTTTTTGGAAAAATCTATAATTTTATTGTTCAAATTTATTTATATTATTTACAACACTTAAACATTCATAATGTTCTTATTAAAAGAAAATTATTTAGAAAAATGATGTAACAAGAACTAGTCTAGTCAAGTAGTCTCAGAATATTCTAAAATGTCTAAAGTTTACAAACATGTTTCAGCTTTCACAAAAATTTTAATTTAAATAACAAATGGTAATTATTTTTCTTCCATGGCGAGTATACTCGTCATTCACAGCCAAGAGGTCTTTTTTGACTGACTGTATATGTATATTTGTAAATTGAAAGACAAGGTTATAATCAGTTTCCACCAGCCAGTTCAGAAGTAGCCGCGTGCAATTTTCAAGTTCATCATTCGACCGCCTCGATTTCGTAATACAATCAACTGTTCCATCGTTCGCGTCCTCCTGGGGCCATCGTGAAAGCCTCTATTTGGAAAGGCAAACGGATCGGCAACCAATGGAACGTTTAACGAGCAAAAGGATTCCCGTGGATATATGTATACAGGGTGTCTCAGCTAACTTGATCACCTCGAATAATGACTTCACGGTACACTTTATAAAAATTTGTAAGCGTGGAACTTAAATGGCATCAAGGGGCACATCATATAACGCACGTCCTTTTTTTGTGGGTAGAGGCATATCAAAGATTTCAAGGTCACCTTGATATTTTTTTAACAGAATGACCTATTTTTAGTTCCATAGATCGATAGAGTGTCAAATTCTGAGTAAAAATGTGTTGACTTTCATACGTCCTGAACCTAATAGTTAATAAGATATTTACAAAATAATTTTTAATATGTACTTACCCTTGTGATGCCCCGTAACTTTAATACAGTGATTATTTTGTAAATATCTCGGTAACTATTAGGTTTAGAACATATAAAGGTCAACACATCTTTACTCAGAATATGATACCCTATCGATCTATGGTACAAAAATTAGGTTATTCCGTTAAAAAAAATCAAGGTGACCTTGAGATCTCTGAAATGCCTCCAGCCACAAAAAAAGCATGTACCTTATAAGATATGTCCCCTGATGCCATTTAAGTTCCACGCCTCAAAATTTTCATAAACTGTACTGTTGAGTCATTATTGGATGTGATCAAGTTACTTGACAGACACCCTGTATATGCGCGCGCCGAGAGTAAACCGTGGCGGCTAATTTGATCTTTGTTGGATGCGAATAAAATTTACAGTGCTCTGTAACGTGTATTACTCCGTGTGGAGAATCGTTGTGCCCCGTAAAGCAAGACCTCAACTCTGCGTCGTGGGCCACGTGTGTGTGTGTGTTGAAGCTTCGACCTCGCCACGATCGCTCCTCGACAACACGCTGGCACTTGGTCTTATGCAAATCTGTGAACGTGTGTGCCAGGCGGTGGAATGATGATCGGCTGGGTAAGGTCATCAGGGAGGAAGGTTAGGGAACAGGATCGTCTTCACCCTTTCCATCGAACTATCAGGGCGAATGTGTGCTTCTTTTGATCCACGGAGAAATGTCTTTAGTCTGTACAGTGAACAGAAAGGATAAGCATTAGCCGATGGTGCACTTAACCCTTTCGATGTTCACGTCGAGTATACTCGTCATCTGATTATATTGTGTTAAAATTTGCATTTGCTATAAATATAAATTTGCATTTACTATAAATTGCTTTTAAGCAAAAAAATTTGCATTTACTATTTAAAGTGAAATTTAGGTAAAACAGAAAAGGAAATTTCAGTGGTATAGTTCTCTTAAGGGGGCTAGGCCACCTTGAAGACCGAAAATCATATGTAGGTTTCAGAATTTTTTTTGCGAAATCATGAAATTAATTGAAAAAATTTGTAAGGACTTTATTCTACGTGCTTTATGGTGCATATAAAAATTTTGTAACTATTTTTTTTTTTTTTA